CCGCGGGAACGGGTGGGCGTTTGCTGAACGCTCCCGTACCGCGCCTGGGCCTTGGACGGGTGTTTCCGAGAAGGCGGACGACGCGCGTTACAGAGAAGCCTCCCGAGCGTGTTGACGCAGGACCTCCGGCGGCTGTGAACGCTGCGGTACTGGGCTGCTGGGGTCCTGGGGAGCTGGGGACCCGAGAGGTACGTCCCACAGATGGTGAAGGAGGGGTCAGCCCCGGAGACTCTGCCTCGCTGCAGCTGAGGAACCCGGTTCCGTTTGCAGAAAGCGTCGCCGCTTCGGCCCAGCTTCGCCCTGTGAGGCTCCCCGGGGGCAGCTGGCAGTCGCTGTGGGACTGCCGAGTGGCCTGGTAAGCACAAGCATTCATCTGCTTTAAAAAGAGCTGTAACGCCTCTCTGTCTTCCATACCAACAAGTGATTCGGGATGGCTTCTAACACCTGGTAGACCAAGCAAGATCGATGGTCACCTACACGGCCTCTGGCAAGTTACAGGATCCACAAAACATTCAGAAGAGCTGAATGACAAGGCCGTCACAAGAGTTAATGGCTATAAACTGGCCAGGAGTAAATCCAGGCTGAAGATGAGGAGGAGGTGGTATTATCGACACATTTGGAACAAGTTCCTGTTGGGAAGGGAGGAAAGCGAGGAAGGAGATGAGGCATGAGCTGGGGATCTCTTCAAAATGTAATAAAAGACGGACCACCTATTGCTGGAAGAGAAAAAACTAATTACTTGTTAAAAGCACTATTTTAACTAGGCCACCAGCGTTCCATCTTGTCAGCAGCTGCAATATTAAGATACATAATAAGGCATTTCAGAGCAAATGTTGCCATGTACCTAACTTTAGAATCCGCCACTCCATGTGACAGGAAAAAGCAGAATAGCTTTCTTATCACAAGGTTAGGAAAGCCACAAAGAACAACAGCCACACATTCCTTTGGTGAAGCCTATTTTGACAATTTATTATGTGTGGCATATATTATGACTGTGAACTTAGAAATCCCTAAGAATTATCTTGATCTTTTCCTGTCTGCTTCTAGAAAAACACAGAAACGTAAATCCTTTTCGTAGATGCTGTCCCTTGCCCCCAAAAAAGAGGAAGAGCACTTGCAAGTCATCCTGAGTTCGGCAAAAGGATAACAAGAAAAAGGTGATATATGCAAAGCATGATACACAAATACAGCGAATAAGAGAAACTTGTAGAGAGAGATTAAAATCATGGAGAGAGAATAAAGCTTTCCTTTTGTGGCTAGAGATAGTCAATTACATTCAGGAGGTGAAATAGTCTTCAACTACTTGCGCTTTTCAGTCTAGACTCTCATTCAACAAGGTTCCGACTACTTTCAAAACTATTTCTTTTGCCAGAAGTCATGGTGGCTGCAGCAGGTATTTGGAAAAAAATTAAAACAGCTGTAATGTAACCACATGATAACCACATCCTTCAAGAGTCTAGTGCAGAATCTGTGGAAGGCAACAAAACCAGCAAACTGTGTTGTTATCATGATGTCAAAGTCTTTCTTCTTTTCAAATCGGTATTAAAATGCCATAGCTTGTCCTCCTTCCGAGACCCCAGAATGGTCTCCCCGTATCTTCTCCAGGCAGTTGAAACTCAACACAGACATCTCTTGCACTCCTGAGTGGCTGGCGGTTCCGAACCGGTACCTGGAGGTGCTTGGAAATACACATCTCCCCGCTCTGGGCTGGTGAGCAGGACTTCTGTGGATACAGGGCAAGAAAATGGGTAAAAATAGCTTGCCCTCTACAAAAATCTTTATGATGAAAAACCTTTTTCTGGATTGTGTGACCAGGAAATTAGTAAGGTAATTGTTTAGGAAGAGTAGGGTGAAATGTGCACCAGTGTTAGTTGCAAGAAGGCTTCCAGCTGAGATAATTTGATAATTCTATTTTGTGCCATTAGAAATCTAATCATAGCACATGCCTGTGCTTTGTATTTCCAGAAACAGACATCAGAGGGAAATAAGTTTTGCGAGGATTGTTCAGAACCGAAATTCAGAACCGATTGTTCAGAGTCTAGCTGTGTCGTGGACCTCTCCTGGGAGTCTGTCTCATGCCTGACGCTTTCAGCTGCCTACCTGGCTGCCTCACCATACTGTGCCGCTGTCTGAACTACTCATTACTCAGTTCCTGAGTCTCCACAGTTTACAACATGGCACTGAAGCTATCAGTGGAGTCTGGCAATTTCAAGAAAAGATGGGTCGTGGTTGCCAGGGTGGGCACAGGGTGAAGGTAGAGGTTACCACAGCAAGAGACAAGAAATAGAGAAAGCAAAAAGGAGCAGGAAGAGGATGGCTGAGACAGTGAACCATTATATCCTCACTGCAGTACTGCTTTTCTGAAAAAGCCCCCAAGTTCAGTTGCCATTTTAATCATACAGGGAAAAAAGAGGAAAGCTGCCACCCTGGAAAGGGGGGACAGTCAGGAGGAGTCAAGGAATCGAATGCAGAGTACAGAGGGTAGCAGCTGTAACCAAAAGATTTTTAAATACATGCAGCAAGATGCTGAGTCCAAATGGATTGCCCAGAATAGCAGGCTAGCGAGAATCCAGGTTCTTGAATGCCATGTGACAGCCCCTTGTGGTTACTCTTCCTCTCCCCAAATCCAAGTTTATAGGCAGCGTGTTATAATACGAGCAAATTTTGAGAGGATCGAGTTCCTCTGCTGGGGCTGGCTGCTGGGTGAAACACCAAGCCAGCGCTCGCACTGACACCACCTCAGCCCTCGGGAGCCCAGGCAGGCTCTGGCACTGCACTGGGCAGCTCCTCTGCTTGTTACCCCGCTCCCCCACCCTCGAATGGGCTGGAAGTGCTCCTAGCACAGGACTGCAGACCGTGGCTGAAACGTGTCATGCCCCATGGCTGTATGCCAGCAATTAAACTGCAGGGCACTAAATGGACATCGTGACACCAGGACAAAATACAGAGTTCCAGAAACTAGCTACTCCTTGTAGGAAAGGTGGAGCAGGTGGAGTGGTGCGAACAGCCTGCAGAGCGCCCACGTGAACGCTAAGCTCACATTAACACACTGTGCGGCGGAGTGGACTTTCAAACAGGATCACACACTGCCATTAGTTATTACACACAAATACACACACCTGCTAGGCTGTACCAACATTTCAACACAGAGCTCAGTGCCAATGCAAGCCTCCCCTCTACACGTACGTGACTTTTATCTTAGAGCACCTTTTCTTGCAACTGTGTCAGCAAAACTGTTGGGCATGTTGTACTTTTAGAATGTTAATTATCATTTGGCTGTGATAATCACCCTTGCTGTTATGCAAATCTTTCAGATGTGCATACTTCCATCTGCTGGACAGAATATGTATTGCATTTATATGGTGATGCTGAGATGTCTGACAGTTGGCTAAGGACTTCTTGTTACCCTTTGATGACCTTGAGGGAGGTAATGGTTTATTGTTCCACTCCGTACAAAAACTCCTCTATAGATTAAGCATCTTTGGAGCTTTTTAAGGGGCACAAGAAGATAAAGTGGTAGGCGGGTACAGGGAAGGACGTTCTTCCAGGGGAGAGGGAAAGAAGGTGGGCATTATAGCTCCTGTGTGCGTGCTTTCTGGGGTCTGAGCAGTACGAAGCGAATTCTACATTCCCACTTCCTGGGGAGGAAGGAGGGGAGCAGTCACGGCCCAGCGTCCCACGGGAGCTGCTACATGAGAGTACCCATCTTGGGGTTGCAGCGGCTGCAGCCTGCTGGGGTACTGCAACCGAGGTAGCAGTTCAGAGCTTCAAGCAACCCACGGCAGCGGCTGGGGGTGGCCACATGCGCCCCGGAGGCTGTCACGCAGCGGGAGGAACGGGCAGCGGTGCTCCGGAGGGCTTAGCCCTTGGCGGCTCGGAGTGCCAGGAGCGCCGTGCCCCCAGACTCC